AACCTCCTTTCAGGGAGTTGTAGAGAGTGATGAGGTCTCTCCTGAGCCTCCTCTTCTCCAGGCTGAACCTTAGCTACCTCAGTCTCTCCTCACAGGACTTGTGCTCAAGTCCCTTCACCAGCCTCATTGCTCTTCTCTGGACCTGCTTCAGCACTTAAATATCCTTCCTGAATCTCTGACCCAGAAGACAAGGGAAGAGGAACGGTGAGAGGAAGACTTTCCATTGGTAAAGGAGGATGGGGTTAGAGATCACGTAGGCAGCCCTGACTTCTGCAAGTCCATGGGCCCTGAGGGGATGCATCCATCAGCACTGGGGGAGCTGACAGACACCATAGCAGGGCCACTCATGATTACTGTTGAAAGGTTGTTGTGATCAGGAGAGGTGCCCATGGACTGGAAGAAAGGAAATGTCACCCTCTCTTTAAAAAGGGCAAGAAGGAAGACCCAGGGAACTATCAGCCAGTCAGCCTCACCTCAATCCCTGGCAAGATGATGGAGCACCTCATTCTGGAGGCCATTTCTAAGCATATGGAAGAGAAGGTGATGTGGTGGGGGGAAACAGGAACAGTCAGCATGGATTCATGCAGTAAAGGAAAATCATGCTTTACCAACCTGACTGCCTTCTACAATGAGACAACTACCTGGGTGGATGAGAGGAGAGCAGTGGATATTGTCTACCTGGACTTAAGCAAGGCTTTCAACACTGTCTCCCATGATATCCTCATAGGCAAACTCAGGAAGTGCAGACTGGATGATGGGACAGTGAGGTGGATAGAGAACTGGCTGAATGGCAGATCCCAGAAGGTAGTAAGCAGTTGGTAAAGGGTCTAGCTGGAGGCCTGTCACTAGTGATGTACCCCAGGGTTCAATACTGGATCCAGTATTGTTTAACTTGTTCATCAGTGACTTGGATGAAGGAACAGATGCCTCCTCAGCAAGTTCACTGATGACACAAAACTATGAGGAGTAGCCAAAACCCCAAAGTGCTGTGCAGCCCCCTTCAGGAGGACCTTGACAGGTTTGAGAGATGGGCAGAGAAGAACTGTCTGAAATTCAACAAAGGCAAGTACAGGGTCCTGCAATCTGGAGAAGAACCCCAGGCACCAGTACAGGCTGGGGGCCGACTTCCTGGAAAACAGCTCTGTGGAGAACAACTGGGGGACACTGCTGGACAACAACCTGTCCACAAGCCAGCAGTGTGCCCTTGTAGCCCAGAAGGCCAAAAAAATCCTGGGATACATTATGAAGAGCATCACCAGCAGGTCAAGGAAGGAATGGACACTGTGAGTCCTCAGAAAGAACTTCAGACTACACTAATCCCATTTTTCCCTAAGCAGAAGGCAAAGTGCACTAAGAACAGGAAGGAAAAAGCAGGTTCAGGATGAAGCATGGAGTTAAGGAAACAGATGATGGAAGGGAGCAAGGAAGCACTTGGCCATCATCGGTGTGAAAGAGAATGTGAGTGGTTGTCACATTTCTGGAGGAAACAGACAATGAGACATGGAGGCTTTGATGGAAAGTCTACAAACTCTGTGTGTGTTGTGCATGCTCTGGGTGCTCAGACATTTTGCTACCTGCTGTGGGAACACAGTTAAGGTGAGAATGTGTCAGAATATGCCCAGTAACTCATCCCTTTAATTTCAGTCAGTCAACTGAATGTAATGATAATGACCAAATTAGTGCTTATATCTCACATTCACTTTTCCTTCTCATCAATTAAGTGAGTGCTTAATACTTACTACACATGAAAGGCTGTTGAGCAACCTATATTACAGCAGCACTAAAAGTTATGGAGCTCATTATTCTGTATGTAATTACTGCATGCATTATGGCCTAACTTACCATCACGGGTCACCTCTATCACATACAGTCCTTCTTCTGAACCAATTGCTATCCTATCTCGATCTAAACCAAGAGAAAAAAAAAGAGCTATTAATTCAGCTACACTTAATCCTGTCTTTAAAACAGACTGTTTGATTTGAACACCTGAAAAAATTTCTGGACAAACAAGATTTTCAGCAGCAAATCGATTTTGTTCAAGTTCACACAGTCTGTCAAAAGCATGCTACATACCATATTGCTAAAACAACCTGCAAAACAATTAAACAGTATTATTTACCCCAAGTGGATGAAGAAATCTGAATGTCAATGCAAGATTAACATTTTCCCCCATTATTAAATTCCTATGGAGGAGTTCAGCTGAGGAATTTATTTCAGTGTCAGTGCTTTCATTATGAAGCATAAAAGCTCCATCTAAAAGGTCCAACAACCCTCACACACTTATAAAAGTTAAAACAATCATACCTACAATAGCAGCAGCTAAACTTGCTTTAATAAGAGGCAGTGTACTGTCATAGGCTTCTTGTGGAATATGCACAACCTGGTTCCTTAGTCTGTTTTTGTGAAGGATAGACTGCAACCCTTCTAGGATTCCAACCCACTTCCTCTTTTCATTCTCATTTTCCGTCAGGATCAGTAGAGAACAAGACTTTGAAGGCAAACCTAAGAGAGAAGCTGTAACCTTTTAACAGACAGAGAAAGTGAAATTAGCTAGAGTAATAAAAGCCCTTTTTGTCATGCAGAACTGTGAAAATGAAATACACTTTTTCATAACAATGCAATGATGTACCTGGGGGGGATGCACAACACAGCTAATACGGCCACAGTGCTTCAAACAAACAAACTAAAAACAATCACTGCACAAGAGACAGTGGTTTTGTTTAAAAGTACTCAGTCTTGCTTAATCATTCTGGATCCTAAAATATGGGCAAGGAATGCTGCATTCCTATCCTTCAACAATCAATACATGGCAGTAAAAGGCTCCTTCCTGCTCTGAACTGGAATTTCAGCAGCATACTATAGTTTGTCCTGATCCCTCCTATCCATGACATTTTAATAACTTATTGAAAGTGACACACATGCCTTCTGAGCCACATGCATTTAAACCCAAAGGCATTGCTATGATCGGTTCTAGATTTTGATTTTGCTACTTAATTTTCAAAATATTTGTCCAAGGGGAGGAGCTCATCATATTTGCATTCAAAGCTCTGGTGGAAAGCGATGTTTGAGACTGAAGTCTGCCTTCTCCTACATGCCCATGTTAAAAGAAAAGCACTATGGCTTCATTTAATTTTCAGGTAAAATATCCTATAGATCTCAAAGCAGAATGCATTCTAAACAGAAAAAAACTATCCAGGAACTTCTGTTGCCTGAAGCATGCACTTACTAATTCTTAATATTAGTTCTGTGTCCTGCATGAAGAGCTTGAAGGGTTTGTGAGATCATGGGAACTATGCTTTCTGTCACAGAAAAAAGTAACAAAAGGTGCAAAAGGGCAAATCTGAAGGCTGTAACATGGATTAACAGACCTTCAGCCTATATGCTTTCATAAGAAAATCATCATAAAGGTGGATAATGTGGTTATGCAACACACATATTTCCTGAAAAGAGAGAACTGCACAATAACACTCATGTCAAACATAAAATATATCTGAAAATAAACCTGGGACAATAGGATATCAAAGACAGGACTCCAGAAGTAAGATGAAGGCAAAAGGAGGTAGGAAAAAAACCAAGTAGTTTGCGATTGTTCACAGCTCTTATTACTCTACATAGAGTTTTTTCATGTCTAAACTGTAACTAGGCATTATTATTTTAAAGACAGATGGAGGCATAATGGATAATATTTCTAAGTTAGAAAACAAAACCAAACCAGACTCCAGCTAAGGTTTTCCCTTTGAAGTACCACCATGTATTACTCCTCTCAGTCTTTTGAAGGTGGCATCTTACATATAGTCAAATGCAGGAAAAAATGTGAGAAGTCATATGCATATACCTTGCATTATTCACCATACAAAAATCCAGCATTTGCTAGGAAACTCAAGATTTCTTATCTCAAACTGCTAAGCTGTGAAAACACTCCAATACAGACTGCAGTATCTAAATGGCAGGACAGCCCAACATCCAGCTTTAAAAACTGGTTGCCAAGTAGAAATGTTGGAGTCTGAGACAAGTTCTTCCTCTTCTTGAATTCATGAGGGGTCAGAGGTGGTCACAGGTCATTTTAGTGTTTGGCAGCATTCTGGTATTGCTTTCTGCTGGTGGAAGATCCAGAAGAAATGAAAAGCTGTCTTTGGTGGGCCGCCAGTATCATAATGTGTTATGTTATATGGCACATATGAAAGAAGGACTACATTTTTACACAGATTACATGAAGTAACAGTTTTAACTGTTATGTAGAAGCTACTCTATGTCTTTATGTTAGCAAGAAGCAAATCTAGAATTAAATGAAATTGAGAAAAGAGACTCTTGCACCAGATATTAATGGTTTCCAGTTGTAGAAATTTCTTCTTTTGAAGGAGTACATAAAACCAAGAAAAAGAGGTGGACTTTGGCAGCATCTCCTCTGGTATCTAAATGGATTTACTCACACACCAGGCTTCCAGTTAATTTATCAGATCTCTTTAGCAGCGGATAATCTGATCAAACCATGGAGATATTTTGTAATGTCTATCTCTACGAGTATTATTACATGCGGATATTTGACAGAAGTTTTATTTTTTTCTTAGATACTCTTTCAGTTAAAAACTGCAGGCAGAAATTAGAGCAGCAAGTCAGGCAGGCTAAATTGTATGGATGCCTTGTTCTTAAACGAATGAACCACCATTCTGCATAGCATATTTTCTCTCTTCAGAAGCCCTTTCCCACAGTATTCCACATTTGCTAATTTAAGAAGAGAGTAGGCAGATGGAAATTAAAACAAACAAACAAACAAAAAAACCCAACAAAACCCAAAACAGAAACATGTAAGAGGAAAATTAAGGTAAAGGTAGTAATAAACTAAAGCATAAAATTCCACTGCAGAAAATATTTCTAGAAAAAAGCAGAAAAGCAAAGACACAGAGGCAGTCAAGTACAAAGACATTTCCTAAGTAAAACCCTAAAGGACCAAATGATAGGGACTGCATGTGACTGTCAGCTCTTTGCTTTCCATGTTTCACTGACTTGATTCTAAATGACTGAGGATCAGAGATGCTGAAAACAGTGAGTTTCTGTATTCAAATGCAAGGGATTATAGATACTGGCTACTATGTACTCTGCTCTAAATTTTAAAATTCCAGGTTAAATGTAATTCACATAAAACCTAGGAAAGAAGTTCCTGTTGTTAAAAACTAAATACAGCATTCAGATAGAACCTAAATCAGCTAATTATTTTCTCTTATTTTATTTTTTCCTACTGTACTTAAATACGTAATTAAAGAAACTGAAATTTCAAATGTATTTCTTAAATACAAGATAATACACAGCAGACTAGAATCAATGAGCACAACCCAGCTTCAGAATATTCTATTACAGCATCAGTTCCTAAAGCAAGAGTCCAAAGCTAAGCAAGAAAAAAACAGAATCTGGTAATACCAATGCAAGAAGAGACAAAACATACTGAATTATAATCAAGAAAATAAAAAAAGCCAAACTTTATATAAAGGAAGCAGTGAAAGAAGGAGAACTTTTTTCTTTACAGTTCAGATATGAGTACCACCATATTGTTCCTCTACACAGCAACCCCTGTAAATTCTTACACTTCTGCATAACTCAATCAACATTAAATATGGATAACGTATGCCATTCCCAAAACAAAACATTGGTATTCAACTTGCATTTTCTTCATGAGTAAATTGGTTGCCATACCCTGAATATACAAGGGATGTCTTTACGAGTTGCATGTATTACATCCGATGCTAGGACAGAGCTCACACAAAAATCTTCATCTCTAGTAAGAAAGAGAGCAAGAGAATTACATACAAGCACACACTAACATTATTCAGCATCATCTAATTGGTATCACCACTGTTTCAATAGGCTGCCATCTCCTAACACCGCACAGAGCTCACAACTGCCATCACTGCTTTGTTATGCTCCAACCATCCTTGACCCAAACAACTCACAAGCTTCAGTTATGTTTCTACAGCATTTGGTAACTCAGTCCACCTGAAGTTAAGTGGGGTGGCTTTGTGTAGTTCTGGTGTACCAACCACACCTATTCTACAATTAGAAGCAAGAATATTGCTCTTCCAGCCCAGCAGACACATTAGAAATGAATAATTCATACCTCAATGTGTAGCAAGAGAGGGGCCTTTGGAAAAAAAGAAAAATCACATAAAAAGCTCTTGGCAACATAATTATAGTTTGTGGGATTCAAATAAGGGTTTTCAAAACAGCTAGATTTTATTCTCTATTACAGTAAAATAAACAGACATCAGAACAACTTTTGCATTTCAGAGTGCTCCACCCCAGAGGGCTTGTCTACACAAGCCTTTTTAAACTGAATTTGACCAAGTTGATCACCATAATTGCCAATTTTAGTGCAAAGATGACACTAATGTCTGAAACTTGCCCATGATAAAATTCATAGCTGTGGTGGTTAACATCTATTAAAAACATCTAAGAATCCTCAGAAGACAGCCTCAAAGAGGTAGCTACAATAAGCAGATAAAGGATGGGACAGTTGGTATAATATCTGGCTGAGTTGCTTCAAGCAATGTACTGATGTGAATGCTGCTATTTGCAATACTTCCACGTTTCTGCTCCCACTGCCAGCATGTCAGAGAGCTGACACTGACAGTTTTCAGTGACTGTGAGGACAGCACAGCACTACTGGTACAACCCCACGCTACTACTGTCTGGAAAAAATATAAATCAAGGTGCCTGTGAATGCAAACTTTATATTCAACAGAGATACAAAGGTGCTGTAACATGAAAAGGTATTACACTTTCTTGATATTTCCATAAATTTTAATAAAAAACCCTCTTGGTTACTCTGATCACTGTAAGTCTCAGATCTTTTGTAGACAGTGTTCAGTGGTTCAAATGATTCCCCATGAAATAATAACTCCTGTGAGATGGCAGGGTCAGAGCCATTTGCAGTGTAAATTAGCTGGTGCTCTTCTGCAGACTACTTCAGTTTTTCTAATATTGCTGAAATTATTTGCTATGGGATGATCTGTGACTCAATGTTGAGGTCAGAGTGCACGGGAAAAGCAATCTACCAAAGTACATTTGCTTCCCACAGATGCATATGGAAGTCTAGGGAGAAGCATGCTAATTCTGTAAATATTGGTGACTGTACTATAAGTGACTACAGAGTCACTTAAGTGACTTCTTGCTGAGCCCAATCTATCAGCCTAAACTTAGCTGCAGTCTATATACAGAACACACATATCTTCTCAGACCAGAGCTGTCATAATGTTATAGCTTCTTGTGTACTATAAATAAATACCACTGTTAAGGAAAAAGTACAGAGGATTTCTGCTCTGTCATAATAATACAAACCTGAGATCCAAGACTTGACTTGCCACAACTCCAGGCTGAGTGGATTTTCCTTCAGGCACATCATATAAGAAGAGTTTACAGTCACAGACAACTGCATAAGCCCTCTGCCACCCCTTCTTAACTCCTGTAGGCTTTGGGACCTGCATATAAATAACTGATTGCTTATTAAATGTAAGCACATGTAGTAGACACAGAAAGCAAGACATTTAGAAAAGATTATACTAAGATCAATGGAATTACAACACATTCTACTTGCCCTTCAAAATAGTATGAAAAATGTCAAGTAATCAAGCAATCATTTCTCCTCTCTTAAGTTCAACCACTCCTTGTTACAGTTTAATAAATATATTCAGGCTTGTATAAAGGTATTAGGCTTGTATACTGCACAAATGCCAAAATGGTAGCACAGTTTACCTTTTATATTGTGTTTACATCAACAATGACAGAAATACTTTCTTAAACCATTCTTTTTTTTCCCTTGCTGCTTATGAACATTGTAACTACTAATCTACTGACCTTCAGCTCTTGTAGTAAAACCAAGTGTTTCTCCCACATCTAAAGCAACAAAGGTTAAATAAGTTACATGGATGGTACACAAAGCCTTAGGGCTTTAGCACTATTTAGGTGATCTGTTTAAACATACTTAGAGGTTCCAAGCTGCATAGCTGTAAGTGAAGTTTAGCATTCTTCTCTTGTCCAAGAACAAAAGACTGTTACCTTGACATAACCTTTATAGGCGGTTCCTATTCCTCTTTGCACATCTACTCCAAGAGGCCTTTTGGCTTGCTCAGGGGGTATAGGGCAGACCTGAGGTGCACTATCCTTGCAGGAAACATGGCATGCAAATGAACACACTAAGTACAAAAGAGAAAATTCACAGTGAAATGCATGTATGAGTCAACAGGTGATTAATGTAGTCTACACTCAGCAAATTAATTAATCACACTGAAACTGGCAAACAGCTCACTTGCAATAGCTCACTATGCTGAAGGAGTGAACACACCTAGATATTGAGTGAGACTCTCCAAAGCTCTTTTATTTCCTCTTTTTAGCCTATTACATCCACAAAGGGCAGGAACTGAGTTCACATTTCAAGGAAATGGAGTTTGGCAGCCTCACTGACGTTAAGCACCAACCAGTGACAGAAGAGAAACAGTATTAGTAAAGGAGGAATAAAAATTACAGGATAGTGATAATAGGTGTTTAATTTGATCCAAGTATGCAAGGATACTGCAAAGACAAAGTAAAACTAAATCAACTAAAAAGACAGAAAGGGTTAAACTATTAAACACAAGATACAGACTTGAAAGCATAAATGAAATAGAAACAACGGACAAGGACTGAAATACTGCATGAAAATGGCATATATATATATATTGCCCAGAGATCAAATAAGTTCAAATAAGCAGCAAACATCTATACTAGTCATTGCATGCTTTCTTACCATTTGCACCATTTTGTACCCCTTTATGCTGCACCAGTAAGGGACAAAAGTCTCTATTGTCTCTTGCCTATAGAGCACTTCATACAGAAGCAGTACACACAAAAAACTCATATGCCATTTTACATGAGACAGACTACAGGAACTGCAGAATGAGTTAATGTGTTATACTGAGGCATTCAACCCACAGCTTATTGGTCAGATCTGTCCACAGAGATTCTGCTTAGTTTGTCCCAGCTACCTTGTTTCTACAAGTAGGCTTGGGAAGGCAGCAGGAGAAGGGCACAACACTCTGATCTATCCTGTGTATCTTTCTAACCATATTCTCAGAAGTGGGAATCTGGCAGCTATCCTAGGTACATTTAGTCCTGTAATTATGAAGTGTCAAAGGATTCCAAAAAACCTGGAAACAGCCTGCTTCTGCTAAAGCCATAGACTGGGCAACAAACCTCCTCCTCATGATGCCTGAGGGAAGAGACAGCAGAGAAGGCAGCCCCGAGCAGGCTGCCTGGCTTGTTCTTTGAGCTACTGTCTGCTCCCAAGAAGGCAGGGGTTACCAAAAAGTCATACATGCAAAGTACTGTAGGTGCTCCCCAAGACCAGGTAATAAACTCAGCTCTTCGAGGAGGTATCGTAACTATTTGGGACTGTGCATATCAAGGCACACCAGTTGTGGAATAGGGAAAATCCACAGGATATAGTGAGTTTCACAGGCCTTTGGAAGTGTAGCTGTATTTTACCATAGTCTCCAGCATTAAAAAGAGGAGGAAATGGAAAAAGCAAGTGAATGAGAGTGGAACATGGCAAAGTTTTGTTCTACTGGAATCATCTCTATTCTTATGTGAATGTGATTCTAGTTTTTTCTGTAGCTATTAATATCTGCTGTGGAATAGGCAAACTGGAAAACTAATGATGCAGAGCTTAATCAAAACACAAGACAAAAAGAAGAGTGAAGCTGATAGCTACACTAAGGGAAAAAGACAGTTTCAAGCTTGTAGAAAGAGATGCAAAACAAAAGTTCAGAACTGTCAGCAACAGGAGACAAAAGGCAGCCCCAGGGCAAGTGCTGGCAGAGTGATAGGTCCTCTTGGGGAAGAACTGCCACCAGAAGATCTGCCAGGAAAAAAAGCCCTGAAGGGCAGATGAGGCAATCTAAATGTGATACTGAGGGTGTCAGTGGAGAGGGTGTCACTAGCAAGAACTAAGCTGGGCACAGAAATAAGGTTATTTATACTGTAGTGCCTTCATCGGATTTGTGACCTATTTAACTGAGTTCATGTGTCCAATCAAGATACAGTAAATATTTTCAAATAAAAATACCTCCCTATACTTGAACACAGAATTCAGTAGTGACACATGCATCAGATAAAGCATTTTAAATAAAACTAATGGACAGCAAGACAAGCTACAGATGAAATAATCTAGCAAATGGTCCTCTCAACATTCAGGGTTTATGATTAGGATAACATAAAATAGACATAATCAGATCATTCCTGTAGTCTTCTCTACTACAGCAACAGAAACCAGTCCTGCCTTCCCCGCCCCCTCCCTCGCACTGTAACAGCACTAATGGTAGCAGAATTAATTAGCAATATGAAATCATACATCATCATCATACTTCTAAAGGGATGCAAAAGAAAGGAGAACCCTTCAGTGGCAGCCACCCCTTTCTTTCATTCCCTCCCCAAAGAAATGGTTGCCTTCAAATACATTAGTGTTTTGGGATGCTTTTCGAGGGACTTGCTGAAAATATAAAAAGTTTTACTGACTCACCGTCACAGGCATAACCTTGTCGAACTAATCCCACCATGAGAGAGGTGCAATGACTACACTGAGTAGGGCTTGTGAATGACTTGATATTGAGCTGGTGAGCTTTAGGCTGAAAGATACATTCAGGATAAAAAATAACTTCATTTTCTGGACTTAGGTAATGCAAGCACCTCCCTTCACCACCCTATATCAGTGCGCACATTATGAAACCTGGGCTTCTTTTATGTAAGTGCAGCTTGTAAAAGGTGCTGCAAGACAACAGTAACAGATTTATTTCCAACTGCAAAAGATACTCAGACTAAAACCTACAACTATTTTTTGTCATCCCCTACAACAAAACAAAACCCATCCATATGCATTTGGAAACATTTGATTAAAAACACAGACCTAACAAACACACATATGACAAACCCAAACAGGACAAGAACAAACACAGAGGGCTAATTTATAGATTATACTTTTTTCCTTTGTTCTTTAGAATAAGGTCAGCACAGTCCCCCTACCTTTGGTACAGCTAGAGAAATGGACTGAATGGTGGGGGAAGGAGCAGCAGGCATCCTCTGAAGCCGAATTGGTTCCTGAATCGCAAGAAACTGTAATTGAGCAAAATAAGGCTTCAAGAATTTGTTTCAAGATTGGGGTAGCAAAGCTTATTGTCTTCTGATTTTTTTTTATTTTTTTTGAATATGATAAAAAATTTAATTGTCGTAAACATCACCATTCTGATTTAATAGAAACAGATTGTGTTTTAAAGCACTCACAGGAAAGCCTGCACACTAACAAATAAGCAGCAATACAGAAAACATGAAAATGAGGTACATCAACATACAGAAAGGCAGCGAAAAGGCTTCATTTGCAACTGTCTTCAAAGCAGGTGAAATTAACACTGAGACATTGCAAATAAGCAGCATTCAATCCTGTTTCTTCACGATGAATGCTGCAATATGTATTTTTGTGAACAAGACAGAGAGACTTTCTGGTGAATTACTCTTCAGGGTAAAATAACAGCTTTCTTACTTCTTGTTGTTGCTCTGCAGTTACAACTGAAGTAGATGGTGAAACTTCTGACTTGGGACCCTGCATTTCCTGCTCACTAATGGAGCTGGTCTGCAAAAGCAACAGCAAACATGTTAGATTAGATACCACGTATCTGAATGAAGGATTCTCACAAGAATAGAATGGACACAAAACCCAGCGTTGGTTTCTAGATGAAATACACAAACATCTAACAACCTTCCACTCTGAAAAAAGATCTTTTCTCAAAACAAACCCTGCCACCTGATGGAAAAGCTGGGAGTACTGAAATGCAAAATCTCATAGCAGGCAGCTACAATGCTGCAACAGTCATCTTCTCACAGCAAGGCTGTGTCTAATCTCTTGCATGCAGGTATGGAATAATGTTTGAGAAGCCTGGCAATCATCCCTAAAATAGCTGATTTCTCATGGTAGCTTACTACACTAGGATTTTTCTAGCACGCAGCAGCCGGAAAGTCTGCCACAAGAAAAATTCTTAAAGTAGTAACACTCAATCTTTAAAAAAGTTGTTTAAAAATGTTTACTTAATCACAGTGTCTTATATTTCACTGAAATTTAAGACTAGCATCCATTACAAGCCATCTATTAATTTCACACTTAAATTAGCAACTACTAATTGCCAGCACAAGGGGGAAGTATGCTACAATTCCAGAGCTAAAGCAGCTGGGTGTGGAAGTAGGATTCTGCGTTACTGTACTCTGAGGAAATCATAAAAACCATGATTAACAAACATCAGATTAGACTTCACATCAGTGATGTAATTAGCACTAAAGGCAACAAGTAATGAATCACTCACTTCCCAGCCAGTTTAGACAGGAAGAAGCTTCGCTCAAGTTCAGTTAGCTCACTAAATATGTTCAGATACTTGTTATTTTTGTGTTGTTATGAACTGATCGGTAGGGCTGGGCCATTTAAGATCAAATTGTACCATTATGTAATATGAACAATTTCAAAATGCTAAGTGTGATTCAGCTTTAGCCATATAGATAGTCAAACTATAAAACAAGTAAGCCTCTAAAGAGGTTTAGTGGATTAAGTTACAGAGAAATTAAGGAAGCACAATATCTAATTTTAGAGGGCCATTTTTACTATGACAGGTCACAACAAAATAAGGACACAAAACTACTATCAAAAACTTACTTCTTCCCAAAAGGCTAGCAGAGAAGATGTAGACGAAGAAGAAACAGAATCCTTTGTTGTAACAGATATGAGGGATAAAAACGATCGCTTATCACCCATAGGAAAACTTCAGATAGAATATTAGTTGGCTAACTAAATAAAATGTTTTATACGGCCAAATGATGTTTATTCAAACTAAATTAACCCCAGTGCAGATGATAAAAACTATCTTTATAAGTACATGTGAAAAAAAATTGCCAATGGAAGTCATTAAGCACAGTGTCAGTAATTTTAACGTAATTAATCAGAAAATGCCACCTGCATTTTCACAGAGACTATGTACTTATTTCAGGATCTGTAGAATGGAATCTTGTTTAGTTATGGGCTTGATATTCTACATGTTACTTTTTTAAGTATATTGGTATTTTTTAAAGCAATGTTTCCAAAAATCAAGGTCAGTAGATAAAAGTTATTATTGAGATAGTAGCATATATCATGTTTCTCTCTCTTCCCTCCACCTCATCCATATAGCACATCTAAGAAAGTCAGCACGGACATTCTGTGGCTGGGAACAGCATATACACAAACTGTATGCAAATATCACAGCATGCCCAGGGGTTTTAACCTGAGCCCCCTTAACTCCGCTTCATAAACAGATTATTCTCTCCAGTTTGAGCTCTTGGTTTTATCCTTAACTGTCTATGCTTTGCAAAACAACATTTAAAAAAAAAATCCCAGAAAAATCTCCACGGATCAAGAGTTCATGAAGTAAGGAAATGTGATTCAATGTTGCATTTAACAGCTGCTTCCTCGGGGAATGCACAAATGATTTAAAGTGAAACGCCTACTTAGGGCTGTGATTTGTATGATTAGTTTTCTAAGGATCACAGGGTGTGTCACGATAAACTTATTATACAAACATCTGTGGGTCCTCAATTCTCTTCCCAGCTCCTTCTACTCTAACCACTCCATTAAGATCTGGAGCCAACAATTTTACATATCTGTTTAAACACTCCTTGAACTGTGTGAACACTTTTCCTTGTAATAATCAGCATCTTCCAACTGCAAAGCATTTAATCCCTTATTTGTAATAGGGTGTGCCAGCATTTCCAAAAGACCCTGAATATATTTCATTTAGCCAAATGTTTGATATTAACCTAAACAAAGCTAGAATAGAAAATAATTAATGTGAACTTCTGAGAATATTTCCCAAAGGTGCCAGCTTCTCTACAAAATGCCAAGCAATCTGACATCTACTGGGCATCCAATTCTCTGCCACGCTAATTTGGCTAATATGTCAGATCCAAATGTGCCATATAGTGCCTAAGAGTTACTTTAACATAATAAAAATATAATTTGGTTATCACATTTTTGTAGTTATTTTATGTAATAACTCACTCTGAAAGTCAAATCACGTGTAAGAGGAGAGGTGTTGAAATAGTCAAAAATGGAATCTTGAAAATCTGGAAGTTTGAGACCTAAAACCAAAAGGAAAACAGGCTTAGCTAAAAGGCAACATCACAGGTGGTGTTAGAACTTTGTTAAAACACAGTAACTCTAATTACCTGAATCTGTTCTGTATTTTTCTTCCAGTTTTTTCTTCAAACCTTCCATCTCTTCCAACAGTTCTCTATTTTTTGCTTCTGATTCCTTTAATTTACTAAAGCAACACAATATGATCAAAATGCAATCTGAAATGTCTCAAAGGCAGGAATGGCAGTGCACAAAAGTTTCAGAAAATGCCTTTTTTTTGAGGAGCATGGGTTTTTTTTAAGAGATTATTTTAAGGCTGATTAATTTTACTTTTCCCATGAATAGACACCTCAATACTTGACTAGATATTTAAAACTGTAGATATTTAAAACTTGAGATTTCTGCTACCCCTGCAGATATGTGGTATTATTCTAATAGCAATTTGATTTTTAATTCCCAAGAACATGCCTAACTCTCCAGTTAGTGAATAATGGTAGTGAATTTGCTTTGAATTTGCTCTTATGCTTTTTTTCCTCAGATGCCCAAGATTTATATCTTAGTATAGCAGTGATATCTTTACTTGAAGAAATTTTTATAGTTCTCATTTGACTATGGAAGAAACGTGTAGTCAGTAGAATGGGATCTTTCTGGCAAAGTCCAGTATCCCAGGCACAAGGGGTCATTTTAAGAAAGTTGCTACTATTCTAATCAGCAGTTCAGATCAGTATATTAAAACCTAAACAGAACCAAAGGTCTGATTACCTTTCAAAAGATATGTTTGCATCTTTAACTTTTCGTAGCTCTTCTTGAACCAGTTGTTTGGCACGAATTTCTGCATCAAGAGCAGACTGTAATTCCAGCCTGGCTGACATATCCAACTTCTGACTGCGTCGCACTTTCCAAAGTGGATCCTGTAGCATAAGTTACTGAATATTAGTATCAACTGTCTAAGGATAATTCAGTTCTTGTCCAAAGACATAAATTAGCTTTCACACTGGTTCAGAGAATGCTCTTTTAATTAGTAATGGACAGGATACCTGCTGCATGAAAATCAGTCAGTAGTTGGACCTCATTACACAAAAAATGAAGTAATGAGCTATTTTAATACTGTTTATACCATTAACACAATATGCTCGAAACCAAAATGCTAGATCACTGAGCATGGAAGTCAAACCAAAAGAACTCATTGAAAATGGCTAGTTTTCACTGTCCAATCTAGAGGAGAGTGTAAAACTTGCACAGTGACATAATGGACTTTCAAACATGAGATAAATGTCAATATTTAATGTAAAACATACTAATATAAAATATAGCAATAGTAGCAAAATTATGAGAAAAAAAAAGAAAGAAAGAATCCGGGTCTTGAGATACCCAAGATACCTAGAACATTTGCCTAAGGAATTCTTATGCTTGCTAAGTAGCATATGCTCCACTTCTGCATACACCATGCAATTCCACCCTACTACTCCCAAAAGCTAAAATTCTGATCTTTTCCAGGCATTTTTCAGTATGGACTACATTTCTGATATTCCCTAATGAATGCCTCTCTAGTCACACATGAACTTGAAACTAACAGTCATGAAAAATGAGAGGCATTTTTTATGTTGAGAAATAATTGCCTTAGATTAGGTCCTGCAGAAGTTACAAAACCAGTTGTAATAAGAAGAACAGACAGCATTCTTTATTCTGGCAGTAGCTAAGATGAAAATGCCAACTGCATTTGATCCGATCTTTCTTCCTATTAAACCTCTCAATATTATAATCACCTCTTGATGATGTAAGCAAATGTTAGCTCACAGAAGTAATAACTTTCTCTTATTCTCCCATATTCATAGGTTTGGAAGGGGTGAGTAACTTCTAAAATGTATAAACCAGCAGCAGATGGACTCTGCATGGCAGACTGTGCTGACTGGCATTGCTAGGGATGTGGGCTTCCATGCCAAGCTGCAAATGGTTCTCCCTCTCCTTCTGTGGGTGTTTTTCTCTTTGAAACCCTACTCCTTTATGAGAGCTCTTTTAATTTGCAGATTTTTTTGGGAATTCATGTTACTGCTATATGGGAAAACTACAGAATAAGGTTTCATTGTTCTGCATATAAATGAAGCTACATGCTTTCAGCGTGTCCCTAGTTTGTGCCAGTATCAACCAGTTAATACTTTTTCACTGAAGAAAACTTACTTCGTTATCTCACTGTAACAGCAGTTAAAATTATTCAGTTGCATCTAACATGGTGAGGTACATTTCTGTACTCCCCTTTAATGGTTAAGTTATTGTTTCTTCTCTCCTCTGTACTGTTTAAAGCAGTTTGTGATGGCAGATATTAGTATGAAACAACTACCCCCTGTAATTATCAAATTCTGATCAGATTAGCTACTTGGATTTTACAAGCAATAACTAAAAACCAGAAAGCAGAGCAAGGGATTTATTAGAAAAGAATTCTGATTATGTACAGGTAGCCAAAACTAAAAATGTAGCTTCTCAGACATCCCCAGAACAGCCTGAATGCTTGCTATTTTCTTACCAGTGTTCGTGACCCCAGACTGGAACTTCTCAATGATTCTAGTTCTTCTGTCATCTTGGAAGCTAATGCCTGGAGATAGCCACGAGCATCCTTCTCATCACTTACCCTGTTGTGCAATTACAAAAACCTGTAACTTAGCAGTTTCATGGCTCATAGCACCAAATAGTGTATCACCAAATTATCAGAGTGTCTGCACTGGATTTAGGGACATAACAGAAATGGACAGAGCAGGAAAAACTCTCCCAGCAACAGAAAACTGAATATATCTTAGATTGCCTACTTTAGATTTTTCTTTTATCTGATTTTCTTGATTGTGGCAGTTGCTAGGGAAACTGAAGTTTCCCTTTCGCCATCAGCAAGAGTTCTGCAGAGATTCACTGTTATAGTTTGGAACACGATCTGCATGTTACTGCTCAGTTTTTATAAGGGCTACCTTCCAGTCCTTTTTGTTTTGCATGCTGAAATACTTGCACACAGATTGCTAAAACAGTGAATTAGAGAGGGAAGAACAGACCTAGGAATTAATTCCAAGTGTACAGCTAGTGAGGTTTTATATTTTAACGTGGACCTTTAAAATCATGACCATCTTCCTGACTTAATTTATCAAAATATTCCAGATTGGACGATTTAATAATCGCTTTAGAGTTGACACCAAAACTTTCTCCTTTGTACTTGTTGCAGTGGCACCTGACAATTTCAACAAAATCAACACTGAGAAGTACCATGCTTTTATTCATCTCAGACACAGAGAGAGGGCCTAGCTATACATTAAAAAAAAAAAGCCAATCAATATTTCAAAGTTGAAAGTGGCCATATCTGGATCTCTAAACAGCACATACCATTGAATAATTTCTGCAATCTGAGCTTCCCAGTGAGCAACAGACTCCTTCTTTGCTGCTAGATCTTGAAGCTCATCTTCTAGCTGTCTGTTCTGTGCTGTTAGTTTGTCCACAAAGGAGCAGAGCTGAAACAAAAGATTAGTTTCACTTGTGACTTATGTCAGTTCCACTGACATATATATAAGAGTTGTCACTTTTTATGTATGTGTATGTCTAAACACCTAGAGAATCTGAACAAACAAGACCACCCTGGGCTATCTGGGAGCTCTAACACAGAGCAAAGGACTGGAAGGGGTTCTTTACTGTGGAACTGCCAGTTCACACAAAATAATCTAGAACAAAGGAAAAGAAAATGCAAGTGTAGAGGTCAGAGAGGAATAAGGTTTTACTGTAAGCCATCAGGAAGGCAGGCAGTCTATCAATGCTTCCCTCTCTGAGCAGCCTTCAGGAAGAAATCAGTGGATGGTGTCCTCTGAATTGTGGGAATCAGTCCCCCAAAGAGCAGTACCAGGATGCTGAAGTTAGTATGTAGCCAAATCTCTGACATTTATATGGTGAAAATGACATTTGTTTTATTCAGATAGTGCCTGAACATTCACAGATCCTGTTTTGATCAATGAGTAGACTACTTCAACACCAGAGACTAATGACGTAAGAATTATATTTTGCTTAAAAATATTTCTCAAAGTAATTACCCTCTCATTTTCTGTTGTTAGCTTTTTGTTATCTTCCAAGAGCATAGATCTTTCACGTTCATATTTCTCTTTCATTGTTCCTACTGCTTCCTCCATTTCACTGTGCCTAAGGAGAAGGACAAGAAATAGGAACACTTTAACATTGCTAAACCTGTGGGATTTTCAAAAGGGAATAAATAGAGTTAAGGTGAAATAGCAGCCAGCACAGGCACCTTTGCAATGCAATACATACAGGCAACAAACAGAAATCCATAGTTTAGAAATTACACCCAAAAGCTTACCTCTCTCGCTTTGTTTTCTCTAGTTTATCCTTCAATATCATGATCTCTTTCTGCAGTGCAAGCTGATGGCTCTCTGAATCATGTACTTCCTTTTTCACATTTTTTACTTCTAAAACATGTGATGCTTCTCGTCGGACCAACTCTTCTTCATAAAATAAGATTTTCTTTTCCAGCTCAGACTTAATTTTGGAAAGTTCCTGCTGATGTTCTAGTGTGGCACCAGCTGCCCGGCCTCCTTGCTTCAGCTGCAGAAGAAGAGGAGAAACCATCAGGAAGAGGCCATGATCTTTATATTTTGGGAATATTCTTTGAAGTCAGAATTGTCCAACTGTGGCAATTTGGAAAAATTTTTATTTGGGCACCAAGTGATTTAAAAGGGACCTGTCTCCAAGGATTAAGCCCCAAGTAACTGCTCTGCTTACATGACCCTAATAAGGAGTTGAAATGGGTTGCAGAGATAACAGATTTGTACCACATTAGTTTAGTATCTGCTTAAAGTTTACATAAACTGGGCATTTTGAAGACATTAGTGTCCAATAAGTAAAGTGTTCTAAGCAAAAAAGGCAAATAAATCTGGACAGGTTAGGTCAGGTTTCTAGTAATGCTGTAGTTTTCAAGTCTCCCACTGCTATCAACAGTTGAGTAAGCAAAACTATTGCAGCCCCTGGGCCACGAGTAAATATTTGTCAAAAAACATGTAACCTTTAGAGCTTCCAGTTCATTTTCCAGTTGTTTGGAGAAAACCTCACTGTGCTCACGAAGCTTGCGTTCTTTCGATGCTTCTGCTACAACTTCTTCGAGTTGGGCTTCCAGCTGTAACAAGTAATTTTAGGTCACTTCAATCCACGATAGCATTATCTGTATCATTCATTTCCTTTCCTCCATATGGACTAGCAGCAAGTTATATTTATTTCTATTTTAAGTTACACCACTATAACAATCATCTCAGAATGTCATGATAATTGTTTTGCCTTCAGTGATTCAGGCATCCATCTGTCTCATGCAGCAAAACTATTATTTTATGACTCTTTGTACTGATATGAACTACATCAAACCCATTCAAGGATAACTGCACAGCTCCCATTAAAGCAAAGAGAAGGAAATGGCACCAGGACGTCACTGCAGTTGTGAAAGAAGAAAGTCTCCCATGTTTACAGGTCAGCTCCATGCCTCAGTATCTAGTAAGGCAGCTTAAAAATCTCAATCTTTGACCCAAATCACTGCAAAATACTTCAAATATGAACACTGAATATTTTTGCCTTGCAATTATGGAACAAATAAGCTTGATCATCCATTTATTGACTTCAGAAAGCTTATCAGAAAGACAATTTGTATTTAGTGGCAACTGAGGCAACTTGCAATTCAAGCAATAGTGACACAGTTTCAAAACCTGACAGGAAGAGTAAAATTTGTTTTTCTGTGTTCAAATTAAACTCACAAAGTTGTTTTTAAAAGGGTTGTACTTAGAACTGTGGGACAAGATAATGAACTTCTAGACTATGTTTTGAATAGAAGATTGATAGAACTGTTACGAAAGGGAGTACAGAGGAATTTTTAAGAACAAAGACAGGAGATTTTAAAGCTCTACATGGAAGCATTTAACTGAATAAAGAACAACACTTGAATGCCCGCTGCACTCTGCTCTAGAAACGAGATGCCAGAGCTCTTTGCCAGTTCCCAGTTATCTACCACTTCTTGTTCATGGATAAAAGCCTGAGAAACTTCATCTTTTACTACACTTTCATAGACTGCCCTTCAATTCATTTTCCAGTAATGTTTATAAAGCTCTTGAATTTCTCTTCTACACTTCACCCAGAGAATACCTAAAACATGATGACTTTTCAGTGATTAAAACACTCTGGATTAACCACAGTAGCTTTTTCTTATGCCCTCTTCTGGTTATCCACTTCATCTTATGTAAAACTATAAATTGCCTTGAATACTAATTGGAAATTAACTTGTTTAAAGATATTACAGATATTCTTACAATGACTAGAGAGGAAGGAAAACCACATATTTAATCTGTATCACTATTCCTCCCTTCAGCTGAAGAGAAACATTCAGTTAAGAAAAACAGTGAAGTTAGAATACTCCAACCTCAAAGCACATGAAGAACTCACTGAGCTTTCTAGGTTTCAAGCTGATTGTGAGTCAGAGTCTACAAGAATCAAAACACAAGAACTAATAACCTGGGTATGTAGTAAAAACAGCTTCCTCCAGATTCAAATCTGAGTACAAACAAAAAAACCCGAGAAAACCCAGAAGACACTCCCAGTTTTTCAATACAATCAGATATGAGATACAGATAAGCAGCAGCTGAACATGTTACTGCTGGCTGTTTTATCAAGCTACCTCTTTCCTTATCTTCTCGGATTTACGGATGTCCTGTCGCAGAGCATCGATTTTCTGCATGCTCACTTCCAACTCCTCTTCTTTGTCGCGAAGTTGCCGGGACAGCTTCTGCTTTTGAGACCGCAGGTCTCCCATCCTCTCACTGAGCTCGGAGAACTCCTGCACAGCCAACTTTCTTTGCTGGTGGGCATCCCTCAATTCTTTGGACTGCGTCTTTAATCTCTCTGAGGCTTCTACAAGTTGCTGGTTTAAATAAAAAATATAATAAAAAGAGTAATTTGAACTCCATATATCCTTTCCAAGAAGAAAGACACTGGACCTATGTAAGCATGACTTGAAAGCTCAACCACCTCACATAACTTCTAAAGATTATTTCTAATTCTTAATTTACACAATTGTTTGAGGTTTTTTCCTGGCTAAGCAGCTCCAGTAATGTACCAAGACAGCCATTACTCTGCTTCTAGTGTGGCAGCTCAAAGACTACCTTTGGTGTAGCCTTTTCTGCTACTCATACACTCTGGTTAACAGACAGAAGAGAGACTGTTAAATTCTAAGGTACAAACAGCCCAGAGATTTTGGCCCACAGATTGCTTTTGGATTCACCTGAATGCCCATGAACAATATGGCTAGGAGGCTTTTCCAAAACTAGTTATTCCAATACAGATAGCTTTTTTTTTAATATCATTAAAAGTGGTATGTAGTATATGCAACTCCCTATTTACTTTACTGCAAAATATTTTGCTGATTTAAACTAAAAACTGATAAATTTTAGCAAGCAAACAAAGGTATAATTTACAGAGCAGCAAATAAAATCAGCAATTACGTAAAAGTCATCATCAGTCTTAAGCAGTAATTAACCTTTTGGTATAACAAAGAGAAAGTACACTTGAGCTGGAGCAGTGACTTAGCTCTATTAACTCTTTCATATATATATAAAAATACACACACATACACATATATATATAGATCTGACTTTAACTCCTGTGTATATTATCATAGAATCACAGTATAATTTAGGCTGGAGAAGACCTTTAAGATCATTAAGTCCAAATGTTAACCCAGCACTGCCCAGCCCACCACTAAACCATGTCCCTAAGTGCCACATCTCCACGTCTTTCAAATACCTCCAGGGATAGTAACTTCACCCCTTCCCTGGGCAGCCTGTTCCAATGCTTGTCAATCCTTTCAGTGAAGAAATTTTTCCTAATATCCAATCTAGATCTTCTCTGGTTCAACTTGAGGCCATTTCCTCTCATCCTGTCATTTGTTACTTGGGAGATGAGACCTACCCTCACTTTACTTCAACCTCCTTTCAGGCAGTTGAGCAATATGGTCTTCCCTGAGCCTCCTTTTCTCCAGACTAAACAATCTCAGCTCCCTCAGCCACTCAAGGCCTCATAGGACTTGTGCTCCAGACCCTTCAGCTTCCTTGTTGCCCTTCCCCGAACTCATTCCAGCACCTCAATGTCTTTCTTACAGTGAGGGGCCCAGAACTGGACACTACTTAAGGTGTGGTCTCACCAATGTCAAGTACAGCACAACAATCACTGTCCTGGTCCTGCTGGCCACACTATTGCTGATACAGGCCAGGATGCCATTGGCCTTCTTGGCCACGTGGGCACACTGCTGGCTCATGTTCAGCTACTGTTGACAGGACCTCCAGGGCCTTTTCTGCAGGGCAGATTTTCAGATGCTCTGCCCCAAACCTGGAGCATTGCAAGGGGTTGTCACGACCGAAGTGCAGGACCCAGCTCTTCACCTCCTTAAATCTGTTACAAGTTTGCTATTTATCCCATCCCCTCTTTGGGGAGAGAAGCCCTAATTCCTATGTGACCATTCTCAGGCACTTCTCTGGTTTTAACACATCAATAACCCTTGTGTCTTTGCTGCTGCATGGATCTCCATCCCCTATTTCCACTGAGATGACAGACCGCAGGGCCTTGCTAGCACATGATCCCCCAAACACTGGTATGCCACCCACCCCAGCTTATCTCTATTGAGCCTGGCTTTATCCCTTTTCCCCCTTCAAATTTAGTTTAAAATTCTTTCAATGAGCCCTGCTAACTTCTGTGCAAAGATCCTTTCCCCCCTTAACACAGGTGTATCCCATCTGTCACCATCAGGCCTGGTGTCATGTAAACCAACCCATGGTCAAAACCCCCAGAATTCTGCCGGTGGTACCAGCCAGTTATTGATCTGCCGGTTCTTCCTCTTCCCTCCCTCATCATTCTCTGAAATTGGAAGAATGGAGGAGAACAATATTTATGTTCCTGATCCCTCAACAAGTCATCCCAGGGCTCTGAAGTCTCTCTTGATTGCCCTCAGATTTCTATTGAAACAGTTAAGAATAATTAAACAGCTTAATTAAAACCATTCTTTAGGTATTTGTTCTACCTAGCAGAACACATCTGAAATAAAAAGCCCAGCAACTTCCAAAAGAGAAAGAGTGATACTTCAAGAAGCTACTGTATGCAGAACAGGTTCCCTAACATCTCAGTATAGTTCTAAAAAACAGCATTTAAAACATTAAAATTGCAATCACAACATAACTATTCTACAACTACATTACATGACCATTTTTAAAAGTATCTGTCTTTGGATCAATACCTTATGAAGGTCCTCCTTTTCTTGCCGCAGTACTCTGCACTGTTTTTCTAGTCCTTTCAACTTGTGTATGGAGTCCTCATGTTCTTGTCGAAAAGCCACTGCATCTGCAAGCTGTGCTTCCAATTTACTTACATCTGTAGATTAATACATATTAAAGGTAAGTGGTCCCAAATTAACACCAATAAAACAAGCAACATCACTCATGCAAACTGGCATCACTTTGCTTGGAAAATAAACTTCTTTCCCATTCCCACCATTTTAGACTGTGTGAGGTAATTTTGGGGCATTGATACCTCAAAACAATTTTATTTTTCTCAGCCCCTTAAAGAAATTCTCCCAAAGACTGTGAACTCTAAGTGAAAAGCCTTAGCACAGGGCTTGGTTTTGTTTTTGATGAATGCAACTTCTAGCCCTTGAAAACATTAAATAAACTTGAGTTGTTCCAATTCTAGTTCTAGTAATGTGTTTCCTAAATAGTTTTTCACTATGTGACAAGAAAGGCTACAGCCAGTCATTAGTGCATCCAACCAGACAGGCAAGATATTTTCTGGACTAGATACGAACTAATAGTCTGGGAAGGAAAAACTATCCTGGACAAGGTGAGCTGGAGACTGGATTGCCCATATTACTGGCATTTTGTTCTCTCTTTACTCTCAAAGAAAAATAAACAAATTTGACTTGAAATTAACACTTTTAAGTGCAAAAAAAGCCCAAAACCACTAATCACCTCTATATATTTCTGCTCAGTCTTAGAACTGGTAATAAAATGAACCACCATTCTCCATTTGGTTTTAATTACTACCTCTTTTAAACAAATAAATAAGAAATTGCATAGGGAATAACTGTCTCCCTCAAGTTCCACTGATGTCAGTGGCAGAACAGGAAACTGGACCCATGTATTCAGGAATCCCAAGCATTGCTGTAAGCTTGAAGCATTATTCCTTTCCTCACTTCTGCACAAACTTCCTCCCACCCTAGATGAACCAATGCCACTTCTTTTTAAATCAGGACATACTGCTAGAATTTATATTTAACACTGGCTGAAGGAGCTAGATAAACCTGAACCATCTGCAGAAGTAGCACCTTAATCTAGCTATTGTTAGATTCAAACCTAATTTCAGAATACACAAGAATAGCTTTTTTTTGGAAGGATAATCTATGTAGGGGAGCTGAACAGATTTTTGCAATGCTTACACCTACAAAAGGGGTATATTGCCAAACTAACGGGGAAAAAAAAATAATAAAAAAAAATCGGCATCAGCAACTCCACATGTGAACCCACATACGCTATATTATGGGCTCCTATAAAACTCTCAGCCAAATCATTGAGATTCAAAACTAACATTTTGTTTATCACTGATTCCCACTTAAAAATTAGGCGCTAACAGGAAACTTGTATGGATAAACTAATAGCATTGTCAAGCAACAGATTTTCAGTGATATGGAGGAGTCAGTCTTCCATCAGGACAGATGCCAGTATTTGTTTTTCTGCAATGCTCAGTGATTCCTAATTAATACATCACCAAATAGAAACACAAAGGGAGCAGGAGCTCAGAAATATTTAACTGTGAACTATTATTATACATCTCCCCATCTATTCCCTTATGTTACTAAAGAGCAACCACACTTCTCTCTCCCCTATCTCTTACACCTGCCTCCAAGTAAAACCCCTCCAAAACAGTGCTCTCCCCAAAAAGGAGGAGTAAGAGAACATAATCTCCTGAGATTTTTAAGGAAACAAACATCACACAAAATATTTAACTGAATCCATCCACACAATTCATTGTACTCTAGACTTCCCACTCTAGTATATGCTATCAGGTCAAGCAAGTGGAAGAAGTAGTTAAGCACTCATTTGGAAAAACTGAAACGTCACTTCATATTGAAGGAGGATTTAAAAAACTCTTTTTGTTTTTCAAGTACCTCAAGAACATTAATTCTACGTATTGCAAAAACACAGCACATCATGTTACTAGGAGAACCAAAATAAATTGCATTACTATAATTACCATGCCAGAGGCTTACCTGTTAATTTGTTCTTCAACCGTTCAATTTCTTCATTTAATTTTTTAATCTCCTTATCTCGGCTTGTATTTACTGTAACACACATTGGACCTTGGAGGCTCTGCACTGTCTGTGTAGATTCTTAAAATCGGAAAAGAAAGGAAAATATTTTCAATAAATATGTTCCAATGACCAGAAGTAAGAATCCAAACAAATACAGACCACTAACCTTGCAGTTTTCTGTTCAAATCCTGCTTTTCTTGCTCTAATTTCCGTATTTTCTTTTCATAGCCTTCTATTTGTGAAGTGTTCTTTAAGTCACGTTGTACATCTGTATCTTTGGTTACAGTGTCAGACTGCATCACACTCTTTAAAGTGCCTCTATCAGACAAAGAGCTGAAAACAATTATATAAGTTAGAACATTTTAATAAATACTCACAGCAGTCTATAGCAGTGACATGCTGGGATTCCACCAAATAGGCACCTTAAATTTACAAGAACAATTAATGCAGTAATTGTTACTGTAGAGACAACTGTCAGGGCAAAGTTATTATTCCCTAACTACTGTCCACGCTGCTGTAGAATTAAGATACCTGCATGCAGGACTTCAGTAATGCAGACACACATTTCACTTCACAAACTGCCTAAATGATTGGAAATGTTAACTCTCCTATTCCAGAGGTTACTACTATCTGGCAGACAAAAGGAAGCAGGTAAGTGTACCTGCACTGAGATAGCTGAGGGACAAACCCCAAAGTTTAAAGCATGACAAAGATGGATTTCAGTTAAGGCATATGATCTCCCTCTGAAAAGGATGAGACGTGTATTTTGGGTTCACAGGGTAACAAACCCCAACAAAGAGAAATAACAAATTAACAAACGGGCAGAATATCTTAACATCAGAGACAAGAACATGTTTGAGAGATCTCATGGAGATCTCTCTACATGGAGGCCATTTCAAAGATGTGCAAAGTGAACCACTTTGTCCATGCTCAGAACCCTCTGTGTTAACTTGGCCTACCAGCAGGACATTGGAGCAATGAGATAATCCTGAACAGCTACTGGAAGATGTCCAGCGTGGACAATACTTGCTCTGAGCCTCACAGTGCAGGGACAGCAAGTTTACACCCAACTGCAATTGACACATCTAGTCCCCTAACTTTCTTTCATTTCAAATAGATAAAATATTAAATACAAAAGCATCTAATCTTGGCATGTATACTCAAAATATGTTAAGACATTTGAAGGGAAAAAAAAGAAGGATACAGGTTTATCCAGAAGTATACCTGTGGACATCAACCTTTCTACATGTTTCTAAAAATGAGAATTTCCTAGAATTAGTTGCATTTGGGAAACAAGTTTAATGAAGAACAAATCCTTTGCTTACCTATCAGTTGTGTATGTAAACCCAACAAACGGTAAATGCAATCCAGAAAAGCCTGTATGAGAACTTGGTGGCACCACTTCCTGCATGAAAACAACATCCATGAAAACCCGAAAGAGAACCCACACAGAGTGAAAGGCATTTGACTGAGCCTCAACAGCTAAAAGAGAGACAGCTAGTGGAAACACTTTTCTTAGTACACCAGCTGACAATTGGCAGTTATGCTCCATTGTCCCTGAACAAGCTTTATTTCAGATTAGGTCACTTAATATAATGACCTGAATTTAGGAGCCTCTTGAACTGGCACTTGAAAGGGCAGCATTTCAACAAGTTCAAAGCAGAATGCAGCCAGTAAAAGAAAATCTGAAATATCAAGTTCCTAATTAAAAGTGACCTGGCACCAAAATGCATGCTGTTAGTTCTAGTATTCTAGTTACTGTTGAACATGTAATCAAAAAACGTGCCAAAAGCTCTTTATTTCTTGGAATACAAGCTGATGAACAAATTACCACAAAAGCTCTCTGCTCTTCCTGACACACTTGCAAACTGTGACACAACAAAAATGCAGGACCAGAACTCCAATGTTCCCTACTCCAAAAACCAACCTCCCAGTTCTTAAGTCAGTGGAGAAGTAGCAGTGCGAGTCCTCTCACCTGGACAGCTGTGATTGCAAGCTGCATGGAGAATTTATGTGTATTTCTAAAGACAGATATTTTTTCACCTTTGAAAAGGAACAAATCCAAACACTGGCTCCTTGTAAAGGTTAACTGAAAGGGCAACTAAAGGGTTTTTTTCTCCACCTAAGTATGTTTTAACTTTGGCCATGTAACAATACTTCATTTTGGCAAGTGCTACCACTTAGAAAAGCAGCTCATGACTTCTAATAACCCAAAACATCAAAGAGATGAAAAACTTGAATTTTTCACATTTGAAGTGACTTATTTTTCATCTCTCACATTATTTATTTTGAAATAATTTCTCACTACTACCTTACAGTGCAGCAAGGTTGCACACTTCCATTAGTAATATTTAAAAACAAAGACTCACTGGATTTCTTAGTACATCATCATCTACATCAAAGTTTGAGGTGTCAGAAGGACTGCTAACTTCTGGAATGTAAGGTGCTTCTAGGTTTCGGATGTTATCCCAATTAAGTCCTTCAAAAAATGCATGAGACTTAAAATCCTCTATTCCATTCTGTCCCAGTCTACGCTCCCTGCTGCAGATAAGTCGTTGAATAAGATCTTTTGCTTCTTCAGATACATCTGTAACATGGGATGGAAACTGAAATCGTTCCTACAAAACAAATAAGAGAAGTTTTTAGAGAAGGAATCTATTCTGTAACTTCCAATAGTAGTTTCAAAAAGAACATGCTAGTAAAACTGGAAATGAATAGTCAAATACTGTTCTAGTTCCAGCGAGCAGTGACAGAGCACAATTCAATACATTCAGTGATAGACTTTTTGTCTTAAAATGGATTTTGAGGACAAGAAATAATTTTTCAATTTCTTTAATACAGATATGTTTTAAACTAACTGTGGTTACAGTAACTCTGTTGGGAAAAGTGAACTTTTTTAAGACATATCAGAATTTTAACACACTGCAATATATTAAAGATTATACAATAAAGACAGGCCCCCACTGGTACTCTTAGTCAGAGGTCCATTGATCTCCTGAAGATGTATTCCTTGAGATTTAATTAATTTCAACTCTTAAAACACCATGATGGTAGTTAATTCCTTACCAAATGTTGTTATATTTAAGGATGTATTTTTCTAATTTATAGGTTAAACATCTGTTTTCTTACCAAAATTTAATCTACATTCAGAAAATATTTATATTATCATAAACAAACATAAGATATAAAAATTGTAATTACCACTAACAACTGAAATTACCCTAGATAGAAAAAACTGGGAAACCTTTATTTCTATTTTAGCTTGCTACTACTACCACTGCTGTATCGTCAAGAAGGGCTTTTTGGTGTTTGGTTGGTTGGTTGGTTTGGTTTGTTTTCCAGTAAAAGACAATAGCATATTTATACATATCATAGAATTACAGAATGGTTTGGGTTGGAAGGGACGTTAAAGATCATCCTAGTTTCAACTCCCCTTTCATGGGCAGGGATGCCACCCACTAGATCAGGTTGCTGACAGATATATATAAAAATATATATTTATAATACAACTTTTCAGGTTTAAAAATGAGATCATTAGGGACCAAACCAGCATGAATGAAATTAAATTTAAAAACTTCCAATGAAAAACATACAATCATATTGACTGTGTGTCCAAGCGAGATTAAAATATTAAGTTTGCAGCACAGGTTACATTTGCAATCATTTCACGCATTGAAGGAATTAAAGCAAGAGAGATATTAATATTCATCACAGCAAGGGTGTTAGCTCTGGCAAGGATTTCATGTCTTATCCATCACTGCCTCATTGTGAGAGTCAGCAATGTAAACTCCAGAAGAGTGCACTCGTCCTGGGAAGAAGAAAATGCAATAATAACCCTATTGCAACAGATTCTGGCTACCTGGGATGAGTATGCACATAAACACGTCCTTCTAATACAGCTCTTGAAAGGGCACGATGAACTGTTTTATTCTCACTCTCTAATGTTCAAAATGCACCCACAAGTTCCAACTCTTCTCTACCACTCTGACCCTGGGCAAATGCCCAACCCCAGGTTCTTCATGCAGCTCATGTCTACACTGATTGACTTGCCTGTTGCCTTTTTGGTACTGTTATCAGTGTGACAGAAAATGTGCACAGCTGTGTAAATAATGCATTACTTCATTTCTCCTGCACTTTCCAGAGGAAACTTGCATTGGGCCTAACATAACAGTAGGTTTTAATTTTGACTTTGTGATGACTGCTTAGATTTTCCAATGAGAACAACATCAGCATTTAGAGAAAAATTTCAACTTGTCGAACAATTAAATTTCTGCAGTTCAGAGAACCGAACATTCCTAAAACCTGAACCATCAAACCCACACAACATGGCTCTAAAACACTGTGAAAAAGCTAAGAACTACCATCACTTTAACATCTTCAAGTGATAAGTTTCTCTGTAAACATTATAAACTCTGTGGAAACACAAGACATGTAATATAGCTCTTACTTCATGGTTCATAATCTTCCCATAGGTTTCCACTAGTGACTCTGCATAGAAGGGTGTTTCCCCATACAGCATTTCATACATGCAGACACCCAGTGACCACCAGTCACATTCGGGCCCGTATTTCCCCATTCCATCCTCCATTGCTTGCAGGATCTCAGGAGAGATGTAGTCAGGTGTACCCACTGCTACTGATGACTGTACCTTGAATATAAGGCAAACATAATTCTCATAAGTTTTCAGGTTCTCTCAGCAACTTTTTTAATTCACACACTACTATTTCTGACAAACAGAGACAGCAGGACATGATTCTGGAGAAGGAAGAGATTTATAAATTCCCAGCAACATAACAAAGAAAATATTAAGAAAGTAACAAAGACTGCAAAGATTAAGTTCCAGTCTACTGCTACATAAAATCAGTTGATACGTTTTATTCTGTAGACAGTAGAAACCCAAAATAATCACAGTTATTGTGAAAGCAGAAAGACAAAATATGTTTTTCCTTTGTGTCTGTTTATACTTTAAAATTGCAATTGGCTGCCAGAAATTGAAATGAAAAATGGATAAGTAGGGAGACCAAGTCCTACTCCTGAATTTTACAGTTTCATTCGAAGATCACAAAACAAGTTTCTTGGGTAAGTTTTATTATGTCAGAAATCAGCCAAATGTTTATTGCCTAATGTGCAACTGGATACAATACAGGGGTAAGGTGGGGAATGGCCCTGTGCCCAAGTAGTAGAGAAGACATGACCATGAGGGCAGTGGCAGAACAGCTCTGATCTCTAGGAATATGTTCTCAATTCCAATAGCTCTTTCATTTTGCATTTTAATATGGTAAAGCCTTGGCAGGCATTTTATAACTAGAGAACATCACCAAGATGTGAGTTTGTGCCAAAATTAGTGAATGATGTTGCATGGCATAGTTTGGCAGGTCTGGCACCCCTGCAAGTGCCCTAAACTAGGCAAAACAAACAAAAAACATCATGCATAATTTAGCTTTTAGAGGTATATCCAATCTGGTGCACAAGATGGCCAATTACCATCATGTTGCTGTTCCATTTGTCAAAGGCATATAAAACAAACTGCTTATTAATTATAGAACCAGACAATCATTTAGGCTGGAAAGGACCTTTAAGATCATCGTGTCCAACTGCTAACTGAGCACTGCCAAGTGCACCTAAATCATCTCCCTGTGTGCCACATCTACACACCTTTTCAATACCTTCAGGGATGGTGACTCCACATTTGTGTGTGTCTAAGTGGTGTAGTCTAAATGGTCACTGACCGTTCCCCCTTGGATTGTGGGGACTTCATTTCTGCTCTCCATTACCATCTTCCAGCCCATGGGGCTCATTACCCAGAGAACAACTGCTCTTACTATTGAAGACTGAGGCAAAGAAGACATTAAGTACCTCAGTCTTTTCCTCATTCTTTGTCACCATATTTCCACTTGCATATGTCACCATATTTCCACTCCAATAAAGGAGGGAGATTCACCTTAACACTCCTTTTGTTGTTAATATATTTATGGAGACATTTTTGTTTTTTACAGCAGTAGCCAGATTAAGTTCTAGTTGGGCTTAGTTATGTCCTCACTGGGGATGACTTATACTTAAGTCTGTCATGGCTTTTAAGGCTCTTGGTCACATGTGATTCTAACACATATATAATATCAAATTTGTCCTTTTTTAATAAATTTGGATAGTTCATAAAAATCTCATGAAAACTCCAATGGTCAGTAGGAGAAAAAGTGAAAACCAGAAAAATATAGCAAAGTATAACTTTAAAAGTTTAGCAGCCTGTAAAACGAGGAGATGAAGACATCAGAAATGTGTTTAATTACGTTAAGTTACACTCTTCCCTCAATTTTTAGCATATCAGATAGTCTACAATATACCACATCCCGATGCACGCTGCTGATGTCTAATCTCCTTAAGATCAGAAACTCACTTAAAAGGTCCTACTACCAGCAACCCAATTAAATTTTGCTTCATACATACTGTGCCATCTTCACTCATTTTCAGACAGGACCCAAAGTCTGCCAGTCGTATGTGGCCGTTCATGTCCAAAAGAACATTATCAGGCTTTATGTCCCTGTTAGAAGAGAAAGAAGTGAAAAGATTTAAGCATATAGTATTAGCTCTGATTGTAAAGATTATTCTTGCATCAGAATAACACAGAATTTTAGATTGGATACCCCCTGATGCAAACGGTTTTTACTGTATTATTTATTACCCTCTCCTCCTGCCCAACTTCAAATTTTGCCTACAATATTGAAGAGGTAGACTACATCAGATTTTTAAGCTCAAAATTCAACACTGAATGGTCAAATAATCAGGTAGATCAATGACAATGAGTCTACCAACTGTGACAGATAGGCAGTTTACTCTATCAACATAATTTCAAGATTATATGCATTGTAATACATTGTTTAGAGGCAAGAACAATAAAAGAGAAAAGACAATCTTTTAATCAAATGTTGGGGTTTTTTTGCCAAGACTTATAACTGACTTCTTATCTAGGACTATTTTTTACTGCGGGGAATTTTGTTCAGCATTTCTGTTCACTAGTATTTTTTATTTACTATTCAAGTCTTTCTATACACTATTGCACAGCATATTTGCTTCTAGGAATACCTAAGGATCTTTCCATCCTGTGTACAGGCAGCAGTTACCCTACAAGCCACTGAATTCATCCAGCTCTGGGCTCAGGGCAATACTATTTCAACAGGATACAGTAACATTAGAAAGTCTCCAACCTCAATCTGCATCTTTCCTGTTCTTACATAGATATAGCTGGGTATAAAATTATATACAGCATGATAAAGCTACTAAATTACACAAACTAACATTCCTGTTTCATTCTAGCTTATTACTTGATATTCTTTTTAATATCAGGAAGGTCACTGAAAAGGATTTACTGAAGAGCATATTTATTTAATTTCGTCCACCAATTAATGACATTTTATTTCATCACTTTGCACTCAAATTCACATGAAGTGAAGTATCAGCAAAAGATAATCATTCAGACATTCACGTGTTGTTTGTTTGTTTGGTGTTTTTTGGTTGGTTGGTTGGTTGGTTAGTTGGTTGGTTTGCTGGGTTGGTTTTGGTTTTTTGTTTAGTTTTTGTTAGGTTTCATGGTTATTGTTGTTGTTTGGTTCGGTGAGTGTTTTTTTTTTTAATTAATAGCCTTAAGATATCCCAAATGACTTAAGAGCACCTAGCCAATATACTGGGAAGTTGGCAAGAAAGGAAGAGGGAAGAACAAGAGCAGAAAGCAAAACCAACTCACTTTTGTACCAATTCTGCAGGCTAAAAAGGAGAAAATCCATGTCTTCCAAGATAATATATACCAGTCTTCTCCCTTCCTTTAGCCAACAATACCCAGGATCAACTTCCAACATGCCAGCACACCATCATGCCATTTTTGAAATATTATTTTTGATCTGAGCTAGCCAAAAAAAAGATAACCAAGCCAATAAATGTGTTGATTTGGGTGGGGGGAGTTTTTTGATAATATGTTTATTCAAATAATACTATCTACTAGTAATATATAAAATCACACGTGCTTTACCTTAAACCTTCAAAAGTGGAGTTCCAAATGCCACTACATGTGCCCAAAACTTTAAATACTGCACAATACCTTCAGCTTGATCTTTGAGGAGACAACTAGAATTACTAGTTGTAAACAAAAACCCCGTGCTCTAATACACCTTGCTACATAGATGTGGAAGCTCACAACGTTTGATTTTTAAGGTGCTGAATTCTGGTTTCACACTTGAGGAGACTTGCGAGAAGAACCGTGATAGGTTTAACAAAGGGTCCTCATATATGTAAAAATCCTGCCAACCTGATACATTTTGATTCAACACAAACTTGCATTAACCTTTTTTAACCAAAGGTTACTGCTCTGCAATTAATTCCTGAAATGTCACTAATAATGCTGCTCATTAGCAGTATTAATACAAAATAATAAATGCTAATCTATGCCTGTCGACATAAATTTAAATGCATATTTATTTGTGATAATACAGAAAAATATGTGCTGAGAAAATTAGACTATGTCATTATGCTATTCCAATGAATACTTTAGCAATTTTGTATTGTTAAACTTATTCTGTACATTTCAGTTCCAGATATTGTCAACATTCCTTAACGGTCCCATAACCACAAGTGAAGCTCAACAGTTGCAGGGGACTATGAAAGCTAATATACAACTGTACAGTAATTCATTTGTTTTTTAAAGAACACTGCTCACAGTGCCATTTGCAGCATGAGGCAATCTCATGCAACACTTCTCTGCTTCACATGCAGATCTCACTTGCCTCAGGGACCATTACTGCTGTTCAGAAAGGCTTAATTCCTCATCTCTGAGCTCCACTGTTTCCTATCTAGAGCTAACAGGTTGTATAAGCCTTTAAAGGGTCCTTGAAACCCTCTCCAGAGCAATCATGCTCCCTCCTAATCCATTCCAGTCACCAAGCAGTAATTTCTTGGGCATTCATACATCTCTTATTCAAAGCATATGTTTTGGCCTCAGAGCCATCCATTCCTATTGCCACAACAGACATTCACTCAGTCCCATGAAAAGATGTAGCCGGTCAGGTAGTCAGGCCACCTTCTTCAGAAATGGATGCAAGGTGCCTCTGGTGAACTTCTCTGAGGCTGTGACATTTTTAAATCCCCACATATTGCCCACATTTACTCTCAGGAGTTCTGCAGAGTTTATATATCTTTTCTAATTGATTTTTAAAACAGCAAAGTCTGAACAGAAGAGTTCAAAGCATTATAGTTTGAGAATTCCCTGTGCTTTTCAAACATTAATTGTACTGTTACAAACCACAACCTGAGTTTACAGGATTCAGAATACACATCCTGTGTACAAAAACAATTAGACTGGTATGTGCCCACTGATTACAAAAACTGTCTGAGATGACCTCAGGTAAGCAGATGCACTGATGTTATCATGGGCTACCCGTGCATAAATTTTGCAGAATGTCCAAACATCTGTATAAAGCTCAAACTGTTTCAAACTGCTTCAAACTTCTAGGTTGGCTTGGACAAAAGCAAATAAATATTCATTAGGTGAACTAAGAATAAGCCAAGAACCCTGATTAAAAATAGAAGCTTCAGTAAAAGGTTAGTCAGATAAATGTCACTGCTTCAAATATCAATCTATCAACACTTGATATTTAAAATGTAATAGCTTATACAGCTATTATAGAGTTACACTAAGTATGTACCCACAGTAGTTTGCCTGTGGCTACTGTGATAATTTGTATATGCAGCAGTATCTTTAGGATTAACTTCATATAACTGCACATGTATTTCCATGTGCAGTTCCATGTACAGTTTCCATTACATTGCCAAATGAGATGGTATTTTACCTGTGCACATAATGCAGTTCATGTATGGAATGTATAGCAAGCACCATTTCACCAATGTAGAACCTAGCCATATCTTCTGGAAGCTTGTCTTCAAACTTACTGAGAAGTGTCAGCAAGTCACCACCAACATAGTAGTCCATCACTAGATACTGAAAATGGAGAAATAAAGCAGTCAAGTACTAGGAGACAGCTGGGAAGAAAAAAACCTCAAAGTTCACCAGTTAATCTCCGAAAAAAAACTTTCACTACTTTTTTCTGTGCCTGTGGAATGCAGTCAAAATTGGTGATCTTCTGTTTTATTTTTATTTGCTTACTTAGTATAAAAAGATACCATATTCCTTTAATAATCACAGTAAGAATGTCACATCAGCATTTAGTTCTTACCATAAAAAACCTCCAAACAAGATATGGCAACAACAAACAAGTAAATCAGAGTTTATTGTGTTATCACACAAGGAAAATGATCTAATATCACAACTAATGCTCGCTATCAACTCTTTAAATAAGAGATGACAGAAGAAAAAAACAAATATAGTGAAAAGCACTATTTGATGCAGCTTAGTCTAAAATATACACTTCTTTACTACTTTTATTTTTGGTATAATTTCATACTATTAGTTGTTCCAAAAGTAGCACTTATCACATCAACATCTTCAAATACTCATCTTGGCACATTCCACATCATGGATGCATAACATAGCTGGCAGGAGCTTGACGACACTATACATGCCCATGACAAGCCAAAAGCACTGTCAAGCCAGAGGCACCAAAGTGGGAAATTTAAAAATCAAAGATTAATCCTCTTTTGAATATATTTCAATGAAAAAGTAAAGAGCCTCCTAGGCCAAACAGCCATTACCCTATCCAGGGAAAGGACCAATGCTGATAGGGTAACATGAAAGAAGAGGACTCAGGTGTGCTATTTGTTTTTCATACCACAAAATAAGCATTATGTTTTAGTTATTTCCTAGCAATAGCCACCTAAATCCAGACCATCACTTCAAGTATAATGACTTTATCTAGTACTACCAGTCTTGAGCCATTTTGTTCCATGCTTCCCAAAATGATTTGATATGTGGGTTTAGGACTAACTTTGCTTATTCTGGAGGTAAGTTTCCAAAGCAGTCATGTTATCTTTCTCCTCAAAGTAAAGCAACCTAAAATCCACTGTCCCTGCCACAGATTCATCTTCCACAAGGGAAGGAAATTAAAGAAGACAGGAATGCAAAGGAACATAAACTGCAATATTAACCGTTTCCTCGCTATCTTTTGGCTTAAAAGAGTGACTCTGAACCATCAGTCTTCTAAAAGGGATATTGTCCTAAAGTATTTTCTCTCAAATTCAAGGCAAAGAGACCTTACAGAGCCTTTTGTGGTAAGTGAAATATCCTGCCTGTCAGGGACAAGGTAATGCACTTCCCTTAGCTCCCAAAGCATTTATAACTCAACAAGAATTCAGCTGACCCAGAAGCAAGGAACTTGGATCAGAGAAAGATCATGAGACCTCTTCTATAAGAAAGTCAAATTTTATTCACCTTTCAATTCAGAACAATCTACTTGCCAGGAGGTGCTTCCTATGGGGTTAAAATAAAGGCTATTCTGATGCTGAAATCTAGAGGCATTGCATTTCTTCCAGGGAATTGACTACATCAAACAGGGTGAGAGTAGTTAGAAATCAAAGGAAAAAAAGGATATCAAAATACTCTTACGAGTACTCAGAAGCCTTTAAGAGGCTGACAGCAGACAAACATATATGCCCCTTCATCATGACTGAGACTGGGAAAGAAAACTAACAGATTTTAATCTGGAAGAGACGGAGAACTTCAGGTCCCATATAAGTTTCTAATGTTCATGGACTATGTTTCACCTACATCATATCTGCTTCAGCAGAATCACCAAAGACTTACTTAACCCATCTTGACTCAAGATGGCTCTATGAAAGCTTTCTAAGAACCAGAAGAAAAAAGTCATGCTACCGTTCCCATGTATTGTCATTTAAGATTTGGCTGTTTAGAAAACAGTAATGTATGACGTATTTACTTCAAAGGTTTTAAAACTACAGAAGCAGAACCTGAAAATGAACTCCAGAAGATATACATTTTGTAGAATTTTGTATTTCTTGACTGAATATAAGTTCTGCATTATTGAATGCTCTATTAATATTAAATAGAGCCTATAAAACCCTAGTTACTTTTAGACTCTTCAAAGGCAGGTGCCTTTTCTACTTTGCTACTTTAACATCTTACCTTCTCTTTGTCTCATTCTGAACCCTTTGTCATGCAGCCAGAAGAGGCAAAGCCCGAGGTGTGGGAAGACACCAAGGCTGTCTCTCTGCTTCAGGTTTGGCTTAGGTGGTTTTGAATTCAAGAATCTCTAGCTATAATGCGCAAGTATCACTGTGAGGAGATACTGGAATATAGAGCTTTCTCTTTCAGAGGGCCAGGTTGGAAAACTGAGCTCTATTGTCTGTTCTTGTTTTGTTCTCAGCTTTGTATTCCATTCTACAAGGATCACAGATGAGCTAAAAAGTAAACCAAATCTGCCCAGGTTCTGAAACAAGGCAGCACTCTCCAGGATAATCAAAAATGTGGCTATAAACTTCTTCAAGTTCAGAAGAGAATCAAACAGAGATCTTTTAGCCCTTAGACAAGCACTAGATGGTATGGAAGAGAACCTTCTGTCCAGGTTTTTGGATGAATTTATTTCCCGGTGTGTTTCACCTTCTCTTCATGCATCATTTACAACAGTGACTGAGATGCAGATCCACTCCATCTGTGAGCACCACACATTTACAGGAGATAGATGCTGAGTAACAGACCAAATTGGAAGGCAGCATCTCAGCACATGCAGAACCAGACCTCAGGCAAGCTGAGAATCTGCTGACTTTGGCTGCTGGGCAGAGCTGTTGCTTTCTCAGATACTGGATCTTAATTACATGCTAGATGTCTACATTCTGCTGGTGAGTGAAATTTCAACATCTAAGTGCCTCTGGGAACTTTGGGAAAACAAATGTATTTATATTGATACATCTCACTTGGAACTGATTTGTATAAAATGGTATTAGATCCCCCTGTCATCACTATCACTTGCTATCTTGCACAGCTAACAATTTTTTCTTAGGTAGCTCTATTCTTACAAGCTACTTGGAAATACAAACAGGATACTTTATGTTATTTTTCTGCAAGTCTGAAGGCTGTTTGGTTCTGTGGGAATTTGAAATTATAAGCTACCTACACAAGGCAGTGCCAGAGAGAACCAAACTGTGAGAGATCGAAAACCTGGATCTATCACAAACCATTCAATGGAAATAGCCTGTAAATGAGGGCCTAAGACATGACTACTTACTTTCTTACAATGCGCTTCTTATTCTAAAAATACTTCAAACGTGATAAAGTAATGCATTTTGTTTCAGCATTTGTGGAAATGAATGTGTATTTTCTAACTCTTGCTTAGTTCCTGAACTCTTTGTCAGCCTTTTATCAATACATTTTTTCTTATTTATATTCATGACTTGCTACTGTGGTACTATCTAAAAAGTGTTAAGAAGGTGAAAACTTTCACACTACAACTCTGCCAGTTGTTACAGAAGTAGCAGGCTTGCAAATCCAGCCTCAAGTAGCCACAGGGAAGCTGTGTGGTTCAGCATGTTACAGAATGTGGGGACTTGACTGTCTTTGCTCCTAACCAGTACTCTCCTGTATTCTGTGACTAAGGTAAACACAGCTTATGTTACAGTTCTAGTAACTCATCATTAAAAAATGTCATAAGAGTATGGACTTTCTTTATAAATGGTTGCTAAAGTCTCTCAATCTACTGAGATGACCAATCTGCTGATTTAAAAACATACTTTATAAATACTTTTAAGAAATAGGCCTTTTTTCCCCCTAGGGCTTTTAAAATACCAACATTTTAAATTACTTTTGCCAGTTTTAAACAAAATCTTGTTTCAAAAGACGTTCTGAAAGTTAAAAGTAAAATAAAAAGATTTCTTACTTTCACAGAGTTAATACCTCTCAAATTATTTAATTGCAGCCTTATCCAAAATATTAAACTTGAACATGATATTTTTTATGCAATGGTAGATTATTCAATTTAAAATGCTCAACTAAAGCTCTATATACTACATTACTACACAACTTTCTCACTCTCCTGGAGTTACAGTCAGTCCCTTTGAAGTTTTTCTTCAAGGAGAAACAAGAATGTTGAAACACTGCTGTGAGGCATGAGGTGGACTGATCTAATGCACTAATATCCTTAAAATATACAAAAAAATAAAGTTCTTTCATAACCCAAAGTTTTTATTAGCTGATGAATCAAACATACCAAATAGTTCTCATCTTGAAAGGCGTAGTGCAATGTAGTAATCCACTGACAATCTCCATTCACCAAGACATTTCTCTCCTCTCGGAAGCAAGCTGTCTAAAGGAAGAGAGGGGGAAAAAGCCATTGTCAACATCAACAAGTAGTTTTCACGGGATGAATATATATGGATGTTTTATGGGATTATTTTGAATTACTGAACAGAGGTCTCTATTCATTGGAATTCAGTCTGCACAAGTGACAAGCCGAGGAATCTCTGCAGGCTTTAGTCAGGCATTCAGTCACTCTAATCCTGACTGGAACTTTAAAAAAAAACAACAAACCAAACCCAAAAAACTCGACACCAACACACAACACCCCCACAAACACCAAAAAGCCCACAAACCAATTCAAGTCAACACTAAATCTTTGTTTCATAAAGTATTTTTAAGAGCCAGAAAATGATAACTTGTCACTGCCATCTGTAGCAGAAAGATAATGGCTCTAGGAAAGTAAGTCTGGTTCTTCTGATAAAGACCTTTATGAAAACAGTTTCATGTATACTTTTATTACGTTACAGTCCCAGTTCCAGACACTGCTAACACACTATAGGAAATAAGCAGATTTTACTATTACTGTCTTATCTTTGTCCAGTACAATACATTTTCATTTTCAATAATCTTTCCTTTACTTCAAACAGCACACTGCAACACTTCAGAGAAGCAAGCTCTGTGTAACAGGTTTTCTCAGCATCTTTACATAAAACCAACTTTCATAAACTTCAAGCGAGTCTCCTTAATAAAAATATATTAATGTTTTTATTGGATCAAAACCATCAAGACACAGACCTTGGGACTCTTCCACTACTCTCAGTTCAGAGAGGCATTATCAGGATATTCAGTAGACTCAAGTGTTAGGGTTCTACTCAAGAATTGACTTTTTTTGTTTCTGTCATTGCTGTTCATTCAGATTTCTTAGAAAATGTATAATGGAAATGTGCCTGAGGAGACCAAGCCTTACCATACATGATTGCACCTTATAAAGGTATCTTGACCATTTTTCCCCTCAAAGGAAGTAAAATTCCATTTACCTTTCTACTGAAGAAGACCATGCTGTGGTCAGATTGTAAAGCTAGTAATCATTGGTGCAAAGAGAAGTAAATTGTAATTAAATGCTAACTGAGTGGTTTAAGGGTTTATGAATGCAAGGCCAAAGTAACACTCTACAGAAAAGTTTGGCAGCTACAGCAGCTCCAAGTAATCCTATTCCCTTCCCGCAGCACCAGAGCACAGCCCTTCTCAGATCTTCTGGCACCACAATGTGAGGAGGCTGCCAACACAGAAAACTAGTTTGTTTATTTTCGAAGACATCAGTTCCTTGATCCAGCTCACTGTGCAACCTCAAACAGCGAGGGAACGCTATGAACACTAAAAACCCAGCAATGCTGCTGAACACTTTGCATCATGAATTCAGAGTATAAAACTCTCCCTCTCTGCTTACACTAGCTTAAAAGGCCTTGAGACGTGAGTTGAAAAAGCATGACAGGCTACCTAATCACCCAGTCAGGACTTATTTGGAACTGTCAAATGTAATACGGTAATGACTATGTATTTTGCTGTCAGAACAATAAATGCAAATTGTCCTTATCAACACAGATGGCATGCCAATTTTGCTTGTAACCCATTTATCAGGTGATGTCAGGTGATATTCACTAATCTTTCCTTTATTTTAGTGACTTCCAACCATGTGGGGCTTTTTTTTTCTTGCAGCTAGTACATGAATAAGCAGTATTTAGATAACTTCTTGCTAGGTTTAATAAGTCATACACAACAAACATAAACCAGTAAAACAACATGCTTGTCAGACCACTCATGCAGTGGATAATAAAACACCTGAAGTCTGCTTTTCAGTAGAACTGCCCATTTAAGAGGCTACTGTATTCTTGCAGCTTCATTTTAAAAATAACAAGTTTTACCACATTTGGGAAATTTTAACACCCAAATGTTGTGTGAACTTGATATGCAGGTTATAAATTCTTGCTTACCCAGAAAAGCCAAATCAAGTGATCAAACTGAACAGGAAAAGACAAAGGGGCCAAGCAGAGAAGACAGTTCCTTTATTGCCTTTTGTAGATGTGAAAAATGAGCAGAAAGAGAACTTTTTTCGACTGTTATTTATTTTAAGTGTATATTGGGAAAACTATTGCTTATTATACATTTTTCTTGGTGGCCAAACCTCTTCCACCTCATGCCTGTCTGAGAGGGTAAGAGGAGTTAGTTGCATGATTTGAAGACAGTTTGTAAATAGCTGTCTTCTCAGGACATCTCTATGTGCAAAAGTTGCAGCTATTTAGATAGGCCATTTAATGAAGTCACTTTAAAAATGACTAAAATAAGCCAGCTTAGCTGTATTTCCATGAGAGTTTGGGAGAGAGATCCCTGCAAACATTTCTGTTTAAAATAACTCTATACTGACCAATGATTTAACACAGCTGAAATCTGCATAGAAAGGGCACCAAATTTCCCTCATACAGGGAAAGGCTTAATGTGGAACTGCTGATGCAGCACAGCCCAGAGTGTGAAATCTCCTGACAGCTCAAAGGAGAGCCGGGCTGCTGCTGCCTGTAAAGAAGTGCATGGATGGATGGACAGAGTGTGACTAAATCAGGCAAAGGCAGTGGTGAAGAGGGGCTTAACAGGAGGGAGGAGATTTTTATCACAGGAAAAGAGCTGGCACTGACTCACTGAAAGGAAGGGAGGCACTGGGAAGGGCAGGCTGGGGGGGAGGAGGTGTCAGGAAGGGGACAGAAGAATGGAACAGGGAAGGGTCAGCAAGCTCGGTCCTCAGGAAAGCAGCTAGTGCTTACCCCTTAACAGAACTCCTGCAAGTACTGATGCACTACATGTACTTTCTACTCTACTGCTGTTAGCTTATGTAATATTACATTTGCCATAAGGTTTTCCTCTACTGTGCAAGCATAGGTATCCTAGGAATATCTATCCTACAAAGCTGCTTCCCACTGCGTATTAGTAAGTCTTTTCCTCATCTGTGAAGTACCCACTCCCATTTACATGATTTGTTGTGACAATGTACATCTCCTTTCACAAAAAAAAGTCCTTAAACAAATTTACCTTCTTAACGTTTTGGTTTACAATCTGAATCTCTGATTCCAAAATATTTAGTTACAGTTTCACTAGTTATACAAATCCTGTTACAAACTGTAGGATGCAAAGCTCCTTAATGTATGATTTCTGAATGGAAGAGAAAAAAGACCTTTTCATAATGTTTTTGTATACAGCTGTGAATGTCACAGTAGCACCAATCTCAGCTTTCATGTAGTCTTTAACTTGCCTTTACCGTAAACAAAAATCTGGCCAATAAATTCAGGGTAAGAACTAGGGCAGACTGTCTGGTAAACGAATACACAGTAATGCTGAGAACAACAGATGCCTGGAAGGGACTGTCAGACTTGATTGCATTAAAACAGCTTAAGGAAAAAAAAGAAAAAAAGAATGAAGCTCCTATGCTCATGAAATAATTCTTCCTAATCTGGAAGAGCTTCAGTGTAATCTTCCTAATGTCATTTTAAAAATTCTCCATGTTAAAAAAAACATATTACTTACCTCTGCCCTTTTAAGCATTTCCCACTTATTCAGAATTTTCATTGCATAAATGCGCTCTGTACACTTCATTTTAACAACTGCAACCTGAAATAATAAGATATTTTTATTTAACAGAAGCATGATCAGAAAAATACAGTTTTCAAACAGCTTAATGTTCACAAATCAACAAAATAAGTTAGCCATGAGTGATCAATTGACACATTGATAAACAACAGCTTGAGTCTTTGCTCCTTCTATATTCCTCCTACATTAATACTATGTGCTTGATGCACCATGTGTGGTCAAGTGCTCGTGATGAAGTACATGGGGGATGATGCAGGAGGAGCATGAAGCTTTTCATATGAAGATGTGTAGTAGAGCTGCATTGTTTCCCAAGAACAAGCAGGGCTTGTAGCCAGGCCTGCAGCCAACGGGGCAACATTTAAAAGGGCAGCCTGGGAAAACAAGAAAGGCTGGTGTCAATAGAAATACACTACATTTGACTAATTTGTTTTCACATTTCAGGTCTCAGAAACTTGAAAGATATTTGCAAATTAGCATGCTTTTGTGTACTGTATGCAGATACTTGAAAAGAAAAAAATAATCATTTATTTATTCACCATTTTGCTTGAAGCATTTTACTCTGCATCCTGTGTACAAGATTTGCTTACACTGATCTGTTATGAACAGTAGCTGTGCACATAGTTGTAACCGTGGAAGAAAAAACAGAGACTACAAAAACTTCAAGGCTTAAGAATGCAAAGACTTTATTTTGACCAAGACTTGTATTCTCCAAGACCAAAACTAATTCTTCTTGTGGTAAAGACACCATTTCCACAAAATTCTTGCAGCTGGCAAAAAAACCCCAGGCATCATGACTAAGACAGCAACATTTTCACAGGACTATACATGGACTGCTTGAATATTTCTACTGCTTCTCAGCTCATCTCTATTTCAGAAGCAGAAAACCAACCAGCTTCCAACAGAGCTCTGAATAGCTGTGTGAAAAGTAAAAGGAATGACATCAGCTTGCCTCTTCTGTTGCTTAAAAACCCTTATCTACAAAGGATTCAGGAACTACAGCAGCTTTAAGATGATGCTGACTACAAAAAAAGGTTGGACTTACGCGTCAAGCAGAGCAACACTATACAAAGCTGTAAGTCTTGAGGAGGGAAGGGGGAAGTGTCATACCTCCCTGCACCTTAGCAGTAAAGAAGCTCCAGATGAGGGGCACAGGGATTACTGCTTCTCCAGTAACACAAGAACAGGATATTCACATTTAGACAGATATCTCACCATGCAGGTGAATTCCTAAAGCCTTCCATGCGTCAATGAGTGAAACTCCACTCACCAGGTCACATAATGGATAACAGCACCTTGTACACACCTGTACAGTCATGTAATGGAAACACAGCTCTAAAAAAGGTCTCATAGTTATCCACCACAGGAAAGACATGGGAATCTGGCCCTAAGCACAGCTGGCAAAGGCACAGCACTAAGAAGCAGCTTTTATAAGTGATGTAGAATATCCACAGCTACATTACAACCCCAGTGTCTCCTGGCCTACAAGCACCTCCTGCAGACACTGCTCATGCTGCAGGGGAAGGATGAGCAAGACAGGAGCGTTTCAACCAAACACATGAGGTTCCTTGGCACATACGAAACCGTTCAAAACTGACCTTCAGCAATGGCTTAAAATTTAAACAGCCTTGCTCCTTGCCTCATCACAGCTAAAAGTCACTGTAACAGCCTCTCTCCGTACACTTAATTGGGTCATTACCCCGATCCAGCTGAAGGCACACTGTAAGTCAAAAAGCACATTAAAAGCTTTGAAAAACTGCAAGATGCTGACTACACTTCTTAAACTGTTCCAGGAAGAACATGACAACTCAGGAAAAGCCCCCACCTCCAGAGCAGGGACAGAACAGCACAGAATGCTGTTACCTGCTGCAGAGGAACAAAGGAAGGAACCCTCTGGGGCAGATGCAATTTGCAAGTGCAGCTCTGTGAGCCCTGGAGTAGCAACATTGAAGTTTCACTACAGCACAGCACTAGGACTGCTCAGCTATTTAACTACAAATACAGTGCACGAACCCAAACCCAGATAGGCATCTACTACACTTCATCTAAGGCCATCACTGTCCAAAAGCACTGCAGGATAGTGCAAGTTTGGAGCGAGCTCAACTGGTGAGGAAGGATGGGAGCCTGGAGTGCTGGAGGACAGGCACAACTGAGGAGCTATGCAAATGTTAGAACAAAGTAGGAAATGAAACAGGCCTGGAAAAAAAGAAAAAAAGAAGAAAGGATGCCAAATCTGTAGGACCAATTTAGCGATTCCCCAGTTGCTAACTATATATTAGTGCTATTTATTTTCAACTGAAAGGACTGCTTAAAAAAGACCCAATTTAAACTTTCTGGAGGAAGATAATTGTCTTCTGTGGAAGAAAAAGTAGAATTCATAAAAAGAAAGTTGAGTCATATTTTCATATTAAGCGGTTATCAAGTTATGACACCAGTAAACACACTCTGCTTTAGCTGTAAGGGTGACAGAGGGGCAGCTTCTTGTGTCAGCAGAAAAATTAACTGAACCATACAGCAAATTAGGTAATTCCCCATGAATTTTATCTCTGAAAAGAAGTCTGAAGGAAGATACCTCACAGAAGTGACAGAATTTCTGCCTGACTAGGACCTGACTCCTCAACCAATTCAAATGATTAGGATTTTTTTTAAAAGGAAAACAAACAGAAAAGTGTAACCCAAACCTCCTTGATGTCTGAACTGAAACAGGGAAGCACAAAGGAAATTATGCTCTGATATACTCAGTGCTGTTATAAGCAAGAGTACCTACAATAATGAAAAAAATCCTTTCTTCTATAAAACACCTCAGCATTTCCTTTGAGTTACATTTCTTTCACTTTCTTCATCAGGTGGCAGTATTTCTAAGTTTACTATTGTCATTTACTTTGGCTGCTTCTGACATGGTGCAGTGGAGTTGTTTTTTCTTATTTTTGTATTAATTCCTCTTTCTCTGGCATACCTCAAATTCAATTACAATTACAATAACCACTTTGCAAGATCAAACAGAGACCTCTTTTACTGCAATTGTACTAACCATGCAAGATACCTGGTTTTAAATATAATGATTCTTAAAGTACATACTGATCCACCACACCTACTAAAGTTGGTGTTCAGAGATATTCCAAAGGACACAGATTTGTAAACTGCTACAAATGCCTACTTTAAGAACAAAAGCATTGCTTCTATCTTCAGAGCTTAAAAGTCTACTGGCTGAACAAGTGCTCATGTTATGCACAGACCAGGATTTAATTTTGATGCTTACTCTTCATTTCCAAGGCTAATACAACTTATACTGTAATAGAAGTTAAAAAAAAAAGAAGTATATTGAGGATAATGAAAGGAAAAAACTGTACAAGCAGAGGTATAATAAAAGAGGAAGAATCTTCTGAAGAAAAAGATTTAATAACCTAAAATATTCCAGGCCTGAAAGAGATAACAGCTATGATGGATATATAAAACCATGAAGAAGATAAACAGAGAACAATAATTTGCTGTTTCTCATAACACAGAAATTGTAAAGCATCAAATAAAATAAAAAGGTAACAAGATTAAGGAAGTATTATTGTCACACAACAGTTCTGGAACTCAGCCACAGGCTGCTGTGGACACCTAGGTATTCAGAAAGTATTTAAGTACGGACATGCTTAATACCTGAGTAACACACACAGCAGTGTGGGTCTCAGTGACTACTGACTGCTGGGTAAGGGAGTCCCTGAACCCTCACCCGCTGGAAACTGGGAGGGTTCAGCTCTGCTCTGTCCTTGGATTTTGTTTCCTACACCTCTGTACCTGGCCAAAGGGATGGGATGTGGGCTAACTAATCCTCACACCTTTGACCCAGAACAACTACCTTTGATGCCTGTGTCAAACTAAGAAAATTAAAATTCACCCAGCTTGCATTTCATAATGTCAAGTTGGAATGTGGAATCAGGGGGTACAAATACACAACAATCACAGAGAGGTTTGGTAGAGAGATTTATATGATTCTGTTTTACTGAGTCTTGAAACACTGGTAAGGAAAACTTGCAGATGCAAGGCTTCCCCCACCACTGCAACACCCCCTGCCAGGCATGTCCGTATGGGTTTACTATCTGAGTCATTACTATCTGGTGTGATTAGCATCACTGTAACTCTCAGGAAACAGGAACACTGCAATAAAGATCAAGTATGTTTCCTCAAGGACCTCAGAAAGTCTAATGAATCCTAGTGCCTACCATTCAACCAACTTTAGACATATTTATGTCAAAAAATATATGAGCATTGGTGCTAAAGTGCAAGTGAGATCCAGCTATGGCTACTACAGGCCACAACATCCAATCAGATTTGTATTACTTCTGCCATCTGTTTTATTCCCAGACTTTGTACCTCAAAGCACTGTTTCACTTGTACTGCAATAAAATAAAATAAAGAACCAATATAGCTAAAGTAACTTTTCTAGACTTCGGCAAGAGTTAGTGTTTTCCTTCTTGAATTGTTTTATAGAAGTATTTTGTTACATTTTGATCTTCAAAACCCACTGAATACTGACATTTAGGGTTGCACTGTACAAAGTCATCCCAGGCCAATTTCCACCTTTCCTCATGCCCCAGTGAAACCTACAGGGTGGGAATCTGAGCCAAATCAGCCTCTACAAACATGACAGAACTTCCCACCACTGTACTTTGCCCTCTGAGTGACATGATCAGCATTAGTAAGCAGCATCAAGTTACAAATTTTCTTTTATGTAAATGATAAGTATGGCACAATAAAGTGCAGAAATCATTTAAATGTAAGACTGGCTTTCCAGAAAACAATTGAGACAGTTAACAAAAAGACTTCTTGGAAACTATGCTGGCATTAATTTCCAAGCAAAGATAAAAAAATGCTCACTAGGACAGTACTCATGCTCATGGCACTTTAATTTTTAGGTAAAACTTATCCTCAAGGACTGGACTTTAGTAATAAGGTGAAACTCAAGTACAAAATGTTCTCAGCTGAAAAGAAGAGGAACACAGACATATAGGTGAAAATACTCATGCAAACAGCTC